GAGGGGCGAGTGTGGTGACTGCCCTGGGCACTGACCTAGAATGTGGTCTGCTAGCTAATACACAGAAACCTTTTCAGCAAGGCAGAGGGGAGGAGGGAATTCCTGCTTAGCAGGGAGTGGTGAAGAGGAGTGGGGGGCAGCCTGCAGTCTCTGGAGCTCCAGCCAGGAAGTGGAGGGGAGGGGCAAGACCTGCTGTGGAGCAGAGAGCCCCACCCAGCCCAGAGAGCATGCTGGGATGCTGGGGGTGTCTGGTTTATCTTAAACCAGGAAGGAATCTGGGACAGACATTGCATAAACCGGTTTGAGCCAAATCAGTCAAGTCTGATCCTACATTCAATCAGGTTTATCTCAAACTGGTTTCAGCCATTTTCAAACAGATTTATGTGCACTGAACATCTGTTCTGCTACAGGTTTAAACCAGTTTCTGATCACTTAAACTGGTTTGTGTGTGATGTCTGCCCTTAGCCCTGATGCCAGTCCTGGATTCCATTTTGGGAGCAGTAGTCTGAACTGTAGTTGCCTAAATCCTTCCTTGGTCCCTCTGTCACCTCCCCCCTATAAAGGAAGATAAAAGACTAGGGAAAGTCAGGGCCACTTAAAGATTTTCGTTTCTTAAAAAGAATGTCTCTTGGGAGAGTAGTTCAGCTGCGCTGAATCAATAGTTGAGCCACACAAATGAAGATGTAGCCCTAGAACAAGCCTGGGAATACTGGTGCCTTTTTTTCTCCCCATGCCCTCCCAGTAGCATTTTCCAAGTTCTCCTTTCCCCAGGACTTTCACTTCCTGTGTTAAGTGAACACCTAAAGCACACAGCAAGGGCTGTACTGAAGATTAATTAGCTGGTGCAAGATTCTGGCTGCCCCTTACACAATTGTGTTGTGCTGTGAGAACACACAAGGAGCTCTCCTACATGCCCTTGGACAGTCCTTATGATTGTCAGATAGAATTGCAGTCCCTGGGCTCAGGGGAACACAAGGACTGACTTTTTCTTACTCCTGGGGGTTCACAGTACCCCAGGATCAATAGTGTTCCACGTAGGGGATGTTCTTTTTCTTGCTTGTTTATCATTGGAGCTGTGCTGGCACTGTGGGGAGAGTAAACTGCTCCTCTGATTCTAAAGGGACTTTCCCAGCTAAGATTTCTTATCTAATTGCCCTGCAGCACTGTAGGAGTCCCACTGATCCCCTATTCCACTGTTCCAAGTGCACATCCCTGTAAAGGCATGCTACTACATCTCTCCCCCATTGCCTTTTCTCTCTCCTTTACTCCCATTCATTTGCCCTACATTTAGCTGCTCTCCCACCATCTTTGTGCAAGCTCTGACCAAGGTGTTTCTGATGCTGGGGCCAGGCAGGTACCAGGTATTGGGCTTACAGAAGCAGACCTCACTAGTGAAAGGGGTGTTCCCCCAACTAATCTAAGAATCTCACTTTGGGTCCTCCAGGGCTTCAGCTTACAGTCTTAGCCTGTTTATACTTAAAGTCACCTGAACATTGCAAGATCTGGGCCTCTGGATATCAGTTTCCCACCAGCAAAACTGAGATAATATCCTTATTTTCTAGCCTTCTGCTTTGTCTGTATTGACTAGAACAGGACTGTCCAGCTAGCAGCCCAAGAAGTCAGCATGTGACCCCACTGACTGCCTCTCCTACTGCTGCATGGTTGGTGGGGAAGGGGAGTGAAGCTTTAGGCACTGCCTATGCAGCCCATGTGATAGGGAGCAGTGGTTCATGTGCTGCCACTGGCAGAGGAGACTATGTGCTGTCAGCAGAACCCAGGGGGGATGTTGGGGAGGGGTGTAGAGGCGCCCCAACCACCACAACAAAGTTGGACTAGACTGGACTAGAAGCCAGCCCTGGACTAGAAGATTTTCATAGCAGAGATGGTTTCTTACTTACATATATGTTCAGTGTGTTGCACATTGTTCTCAGTTGAGAACTTTAAATATATAGTAATCCCCAGCAGTGTAACTAAAGGGAGCCCAGCTGGGCAGCAGTCTGGGCACTGCCTGATTGCACGGCTGTAATTGGTACAGTGGGAGCCAGCACTGCCTGGGGCATCCTGTAGCTGCCGTAGGCTCAGAGCTATGCTGTCGCACCAGCCATACAGAACAATATAAAACTGTAAAATAAACCCTCTGCAAGTAGTTAAATACATTCTGTCCTCTTGACCTTTCTAAACAAATGAAAAAGGCAAGGATTTTTTTGGGGGTGCTATCTTCTTTTGGACCAATTGCATGGTTGGAATAAAATCAGACAAGCTTTCACATGCAAGGCATTCTTCATCAGGGCTCAGGAAGGAAGCAGGCACAGTGAATGTTAAGAGAATAGAGCTGTGAAATTGGAGGGGGGAAGGAAAATCCCAGGGGCATCAGACAAACAATTAGCAGAAGAAAATAGGCTGATTCCTGAAAGATCAAAACCTATGAAGGAGGGCGTGGGGTGGTCGTTAACATTTGTTGTGTGTAGAAAGAAATTCAGAAATCAGGTAGACTATAGAAAATCTTCTCTCCCCCAAAGTACCATTTTCTCCCAAACACTAACGCTTACGTTTGCAACTCTGTTTCTGTATTATTTTGTTCCATTAGTTCAGAACTGTTTTTGTAAAATGGTTAATGGGAGAAACAAGCATCCCAAACAAGGAAGAGAATTTCAGTTTTCAGCTCTGACCCCTCACTGGCTCTCTTGTGCTTCTGCATTCAAGAGCACATTCTGAACCTTGTAAGTATATGTTTAGATTGTAAGAAGTGCATCACTACAGTATGTGCACTATCCTACAGGCTTGTATATTTGTACTTCTCTTCTTTCAAGTTTGTTATATCCTTCTCACTGTCATGCCCAAATTTAGGTACCTAAGAGCATTGTTGAAAAATGATTCTTTTCTCTTTTTTTGGCAATTTTTACCTTGATTTTACAGTACGGTAACTGTCTATACAAAGGACATGTATATTTCTAATCTATACAACCAACAAATGCAGAAGGAATGGAATGCTTTCCAAGGTTTGTGAATATAAGTCCTGCTTCCATTTGCCAGATAATAGGTTGTCTCCAGGGGTGGTGTGTGAATCTTGTGCTATCTACTTGCCACCAGGCTTTTTTGGGGGGGGGGGGGG